TGTGTGTGTGTGTGTGTGTGTGTGTGTGTGTGTGTGTGAGAGAGAGAGAGAGAGAGAGAGAGAGAGAGAGAGAGAGAGAGACCCCACTGAGCTTAGTGTGATTTAATTCTGATTAATTGTCCATCAGATCCAAGTGTAAGGTCATTTCCAGAGAAGGAAGCACTATTAAAACAAAACAAAAAGGGGGCTTACTCATGAGTAAACATAGGCTAAGGCTGCAAAACCTGTGTACACTTAACCGGGGATGAGGTCCAGTTTAACTCAGTACCCCTTTGCTCCAAAGAAATGAACTCAAAGCTCTCTTGGCCGAACTTTGCTGGACTTTTTGACACACCAACGGACACATCGACCCCCATGTCCGCGCCATTGGACCAGACGGTCTGGAGGTTTGTCACCTTTGCAGAATAGCTGCAAAGAGGCGCACGTTTTGCTGTGGCCCTTTAGGCTGACACCCTTAGATGAGCCTGGGTCCTATGGAAAGGCAAAGCAGTGCGCTGATGTGTTGGGAGAAGAGCACTGAGGAGCATGCAAAAGGGGGGGGGAAGGTGCAAGGAAGCTGATGATCATAATTTGTCTGCAGCCGTGGATTCACTAAGCAAAATAAGCACGTGCTTAGGACATCAAAACAGCTTTTTTTCAGTGCCAGATTTGCCACCAGCGGTGGTTGTAAATGGGGCACCCTCCTTAACAAATAATGTGTCCTCCTCTCACCCTCTGCTCCCTCCCTCCCTCCCTCATGAGCCAAGAAACCCACTCCCTGCCTAAAGGAACTGAACATGAACCAGGAAAAAGTCAAAAGGGTAAAGATTCACCGAGCGAGAAAAATCATGTTTTGCCTGAAACGATCATTCATCCTCATTGTTGTAGCTCGGTGTTTTGTTTGTTTTAATTTTTTTTTCTGTAATTTTGAGAGGCTGGGTGGGGATAAGGATAAAAAAGAGGTCTGTGCTGGATGTGCAAGTCGAAGAGAGAACAGCCACTGTTAAAACCACCCCCAAAGGGCTTGTAAGCTCTTGTTTGCGCGTCTCAGTTTACAGATTCTGACAAAATCTATCTATATTAATCAAAGCATGAAAGTGCAAGATTGGGAAGGCGGTCATTTGATTGTATGTCTGATTTTTCATACGATACATAGTTCTTTTTTAACGTGTGCTATACATGACCAGATTTTCATGCACATAATATCTGCATTATATGTTTCCTTTCCAAGTTTTGGGGCCTGCCGTGTTTTATAGCCATAATTTTTTCAGCGTTTGGGGCTCCTAAAGGCCTCGATTCGGCCCTGTTTGCCTGCGTGCATATTTGTGATTTGATACCGGAACTGGATTTTGAGTCTGCCTCTGGGTCCTGAATGTGTCAGATGCTACCTGCCCGGTTCTGCTCTGGAAAATAGCTGGACTACTATGTTTGCAAAAGAAGGGTTCTCTTATCACCCATCCAGAGTTATCACGTAGGGACTGGTTGGACAACAAGAGAGATGACTTCACAGCCTCTTCCAGTCACATCTCCTGGTTGCCCGCCAGCTTCCACAGAGGGTGCCAACCCCGCTCGTGATGAAACAAGCTTTTCCTGGGCTCTGCTGCCAGAGCTGAAATCCAGGTGTGGCACAAGGGATCCTCCTTTGAATACCCTTGGCTTTTGTGGGTGGGAAAGGGTGAGGGCTGTTGTTTTCTTTTAAAATTCCTGGCACTGCTTCATTGGCCACACCTTCCAAACTGGCATCTTCCGGATGTGGTGACTACCATGCCCATCGTCCCCCATCAGCTGGCCCTGTTTTCCCTGCCTGAACAGCTAGCTGCTCAGCGATGATGGTCACGGTAGGAACTACACCCGGAAGATGCCCAATATTGGCCAGCCAGATGTAGCAATATCAAGCGCTCCCTATTTCTCTCTAGAGGGTCAGTCTCCAGACTACAGGGCCCATCAGCCCCCATTTCAGCTGGGCCAAGTGCCTCGGGGGGGCACTTCTTGGAAGTATTGGCTGGTAGCTCCACATTAGCTGAGGATGATAAGTCGTGTCAGCTTAGGTTGATAGGATCGAGAATCATAAAACATCTGGAGGGTGCCCGATTCTGGAAGGCTGACCGCGATGTACTTTTGCAAGGCTCCTTTGATGCGCTTTTCGTTTCCACTTGTATGGCAAACACATTTGGGCTTGAACATTGTAAAGAGTATGTGGTCAGGGAGAGAAAGAGCCACAGTTTTTTCATCTTAACGACGCTCTTTGGATTTTTCGTACAACCGGCTGCTGACAGCTGCGCAGACGCTTTCTTAGATTTACGGAGCAAACCATCTCTTGGGGAATTCCGTACGACTGACGTGCGTCTCCCAGTTGCTGCTCTACGTGTAGGACTTCCAGGGCTAGACCCGTCAGCTGTAGCACAACACAACACAAAGCATGTGGCTCCATAGAATCTTTTCTAGTCATGCCAGATGATGTTCGAGTCAAACTGGACTCAGCCCACGCTGTTGAGAGAACAGTGCGGGCTGTCTTCAAAGAATGAAGCCACAAGTTCTCCTTTTTTCATCTCGACATGGGCAGGATTCATCACCGTCAAAATGTGATCCCGCGATAATCCAGGCCAGTCACTCTCAACCAGTGGGGCATGCATCTCTGGAGTGACTCAGAAGGAATTTAGGTGGGGCAGAAGGTTTTCAGAAACCTTACCGAAAATTCATTCTCCCTTCGTCTTCACATCTTCCTGCAACAGTAAATGCCGTCTCTCACCGATTCTGCCTAGCTTAGCCCTTTTGATATAAGGAAACATTCTGCCCATAGTTCCCTGGCACCATTCAAAGTGATGGTTCTTAACCTATCAAGCCCTAAATAGCTCGGGTCCAAGTTATCTCAAGGACCACCTCTCCCTTTATGAGCCTGCTCGGGTCAGGAGAAGCCTTTCTTTCGGCCCAACCGCCCACACAGGTGTATTTGGTGGGGACAGGGGAGAGAATCTTCTCTGTGGCTGCTCCTAGACTGTGGAACTCCCTCCCACTGGAGACCCAGCTGGCCCCATCTTGGCTGTCCTTCTTCAAGCAAGCAAAGACCTTTCTCTTCAGGCAAGCTTTCCCTCGATAACTGGCTGCCTGAGTGGGGTTTTTCAACGGATGACTGCACTCTACGGCTTTGAACATGTTTTCAGTGCTGTTTCTGTCTATCGCAGGTGGTATTTGTTTTTTTAATAACTGGCTGGCTGAGTGGGGTTTTTCAATGGATGACTGCACTCTACGGCTTCGAACGTGTTTTCGGTGCTGTTTCTATCGCAGGTGGTATTTGTTTTTTTAATATTTGTATACTTACTGTTTTTAGCTTTAAATATGGTTTTTTAATGATGGAAGCA